GCCTAAACTAGCGACGCCCCATAGGAACATCCAGACGAGTTGTTGCAATACTAGGACGAAGGCCACCACGAACACGGCCGAGTGCTGTTTTAAACCTGCACAGGCTGCCTTTAAATTGGCCGATGCGAAGCCGATCCGGTTCTGGACTGCGTAGATGTACCACACGTTGATAGCAGCCATGAACAGGAAGAACAGAGCAGCCCATACGTTGACCGAGAAGGTGGACACAGCGAAGGCCAACACCATGCCTACATTAAGCCAGAGCGCGACCCTAATCATAGAGGACGCGTAGGACATCAGTAGCTTAATCCAGGCTAAAGATAGCACAGTGCCGACCACGCAGAGTAGACCAATCATCGTCCACGCTACGGAGTGTCCTTGCGGAATACGACCATCACTCCTGTTCCTACCCATGTCTTCTTTTAAGGCAGGCACTCCTTTCCAGAAGGCCAAAATGCCTAGAATAAGAACGTTGGCTAGGAACACGACGGCGAAGAAGGCATCGTTGCACTTGGCGGTAGGAGCCTCGAGACGCATGCTACTGACGGCGCTGGAAGGCGGCGAGCGGCGCTCTTTGCCACCGCTGGGGCTCAGGAGCATCGGGTCCGTCTCGCTCACGGGCGCGTACATGGCTTCAGAGTCCGAGTCCGAGTCGGAAGTGATCGCGGGAGCGGAAGCGACGTACGTCTTGGCGACTGATTGAGTGAGTGAACTCACGGACTTGGCGGGTTTCGATTGGCGGAAGGTTTTCTGTGAAGAATCTTCAGATGGTGAAAAAAAGAGAAGTTGATGTGGTGTACACTATACTTGATACGCTCTTTGATTGGCTATTTTTCGATTGATTCTGTTCCTGAAGAGTGATGGCAGATGCTGCCAAAGCGGGTAATGGTGCGGCGGTTGTGAGGCCTCTGGGGCCGGCGAAAGGTGCGCCAAAGGATGTCAATGATGTTTAGATGTAGCTGTGAAAGTTTCAGAGTGTTTTGCATCGTGACAGTTGAGATATTCGTTCTTGTATGTCGTAGTGACTCTGCAGTTTGTGGCTGTGGGTAACGCGCCGCTCATGAAGCGCACCAAGTTCACCGTCAGCGGTCAAGACCAGCTCAGCGTCGTGTACAAGTTTTTAAGGAAGCAACTGCGTCTCAAAGACAACGAATCATTGGTAAACTAGCACAATTATTGATAAACGGGAAGACGTCAAACGCTCTCTAATTGCTGCTGCAGTTTGTGTATTGCAACAGCTCATTCGCGCCATCTCCTGACCAGAGACTGAGCTCGTTATTTGAGGTACCATTCGTTGAATTGCCTCATTGAAGCGGACGCCATAGCTTATTAATGTTGTGCTGGACGATAGAGCTTTCAAGTGGGTGACGTTCTGGTGCTTAACTACAGTCTCACGCAGGCGTGGGGATAAGAAGAATCATAACAGTTGAATGGTAGAAATATATTGTAAAGGGCAGTGTGGAAATACATTAGACTGACCCAACCAGAGCTTCCACCTCTGCACGAGAAGCTTCGTGACGCTGTTGCAGTAGTCGCAGCTCGGCGTTAAGTTCGTCATCTTCCGAGTCATCGTCCACCACAACATTTGGGTTCTTTGGCTTTGGGATCTGCGTGCGTGAAGCTCTCGGGTTGGTTGTCTGGATCTCCTCAGCTGAGTCCGATCTCTGCGATAGTCGGGGCTTTGGGACGCGTTTAGCGAAGGCCAGTCCTTTTTCCCGACTCGACTTTGGTTTTAGGTTTGCTGGCTGTTCTTTCGATATGTCGGTGGGTTTCTTGGAGGCATTCTTGTTAATAACCCGCAGATTCTGTGAGAACGCTTTAATTCGTTCATTCTTCGCTCGCTTCTCGACTAGTTCGTCGGTGTTTAAGTCCGGTTGAAGCTTCCCTAGTTCGTAGTATCCGTCCGGTTTTTCCT